GGAAATTGAACAACACACTTCTGAATAACCAATGGGTCACAGAGGAAATTAAAGAAGAAATCAGACAGTTCCTTCAATTAAATGACAACGACAATCCAACATATCGTAAGCTATGGGACACGGTGAAAGCAGTCTTTCGAGGGAAATTCACAGCAGTGAACCCTCAAATGAGGAAAACAGAGCGAGCTCAATTACACAACCTGATGCTAAACCTCAGGCTTCTAGAAAAACAAGAGCAGGACAACCCCAAAGCTCATACAAGGGAGGAAATTATAAAGATGAGAGCAGAAATCAATTCAATGGAGACTAAGAGAACGATACAAAAAAAAAATCAATGAGGCCAAGGGTTGGTTCTTCGAAAAATTAAACAAAATCAACAAACCCTTAGCCAACCTTATCAAAAAAAGAAAAGAAAAGGCCCAAATCCATGCAATTAGGAATGAAAGGGATGAAATTACAACACACCCAGCAGAAATCCAGAGGATCATCAATACCTACTTTGAGAACCTATATGCCAATAAGATGGAAAACACAGAAGAAATGGACAGATTCCTAGATACGTATGAATTACCAAAGTTGAACGAAGACCTAAAAATGAATTACCAAAGTTGAATGAAGACCTAAAAATTCTAAACGACCCAGTATCTATCAATGAAATTGAAAATAATTAAAAACTTACCAACTAAGAAAAGCCCAGGTCCTGATGGCTTCACTGCTAAATTCTACAAGACATTCAGAGAGGAACTAATGCCACTACTGTTTAAAACTCTTCAATGAAATTAAAAGGGAAGCAATACTCCTGAATTCATTCCTGGAAGCAAACATCACCTTGATTTCCAAAGCAGAGAAAGCCCCAAATGGAAAAGAGAACTATAAGGCAATCTCACTAATGAACACAGAGACAAAAATCCTTAATAAGATACTGGCAAATAGTATGCAGAAGATTATCAAGAAGATCATACACCCTGACCAAGTGGGATTCATCCCAGGGATGCAAGGATTGTTCAACATACACATACCAATAAATGTAATATACTATTATCAATACAGCCAAGGACAAAAATCATATGATCATCTCAATAGATGCAGAAAAAGCATCTGACAAAATACAACACGCATTTATGATAAAAACCCTACAAAAAATTGGAATAGATGGTCTCTACCTCAATCTGAATAAAGCCATCTATGAAAAACCAACAGCCAATATATTACACTAAATGGTCAAAAACTGAAATCCCTCACACTAAAATCAGGAGCAAGACAATGATGTCCACTATCAACACTCCTGTTCAATATAGTTTTGGAAGCATTAGCCATGGCAATTAGACAAGAGAAAGAAAAGGTATAAAGACAAGAAATGAAGAAGTCAAATTGTCATTATTTACAGATGACATGATACTCTATATAGAAGACCCCAAGAACTCCACCAAAAGTCTTCTAGACTTAATAATCAAATTCAGTAAAGTAGCTG